GGTTGGCTGAGTGGGTCTGTAGATGTGGGTCTTGGTGTATTTGTGGGAGAGGGTGACTTATGAGTGTCCTTCTACTCCGCCATCTTGCCTCTTCCTCATTTATTTATTGTTAATGGAGGTATCGAGGATTGAACCCAGGATCTCGTCATGCTAAGCACACACTCTACCGCTGAGCTATACCTTCCCCCCGAGAGTTGTTTTAATGTGCAAAATAAATAAACTCCGTGTGCCAGAGGGCAGGCCTGCCCATAGAGCAGACGTAAGACCAGTGTCTTACTTTGCAGTCTCCCTAAAAGCTAGATTGTGGCATGAAGAATTAATCTGGGATGTAGCTCTAGGAAGCACAGCAAGGGAGTGAGGAGGTGAGACAATATTGTCAGTTAACCTTTTGATGTACATCATTTCAATTATACACATGCTATTTTTATGCACAAACTTGGGCTCCCATTTTTTTCATTTACAATACATAATGAGAACAACACCATGCCATGAAGTATTTTTCTTTAAATAATTTTAATTTTTGTATAATAGTCCTCTCTGTAGATGTAGCCTAAGGTTTTGTTTTCTTTCAAGTGTTTAAACCATTCTTCTATTGCTGAATATTGATGCTGTTTTCATGTTCTTTTCTATTATAAATAATGTGGCAGTGACCAGCATTTAAATAAAAATTTTAATGCATATCCATGATTAATTGTTTAAGGTACATTTCTTCTACAACTGGAACTTTGAATTAAAAAAAACAAACTTTTTAAAAAAGCTTTTGATATCAGTTGCAAATTCTCCTTGCACCTCCAAAAAGTTGTGTCAATTTATATCCCCTTTTAACAGTGTGATGTTTTGTCTATTTGGGGGAAAAAAAACTGCAGTCATTGGTTCTCCTCTTCATAAAGAATCATCTTTTTTTATTTAAAAAATTTCTGATTTTCTCTCTTGTAGCTTTTGCATGCCCTTATTAATTTCTGTTTCTTAAGTTTCAAAACTACCATTGTGTTAAATTTATTTTTACACTGGCTTTGAACATTGTGTTGGAAACAGTTTATAGAAAGAAATCTCATGAAAGAAAATCATGTTTCCTTGAAAGTTGTGAACTCATTTAAAAGCAATATCTGTTTGCGGAAAGAAGAGAAAAAATATTTATTAAGCACCTGACCGATACCATGTTAAGGACCCTGGCGGACGCTTGGGAAGCACAAGGTGTCACCCTTAGAGGTCTCACGTTCTTAGTTTGGGAAACACTACCAAGCTCCCATACTCTAAAGAGCAGGTTTTTTTCTTAACATTTTTTAGACCCTTGTTCCCCCAAATACTGTCTGTTTTCGGTGTATTACCCCTCTCACTAGCCAAGAAGAGTTCACCCAGCTTTCTTTCTTTAGTTCCCATTACAAACTACAGAACTAGATTCACTGAACGTGCTTTTTCAAACCACCAGTGCACATGTGCACATCCCATGCTGATGAGCTGTCCCTCCTCCAGTGGAGAATTACTGCATTAAGAATCATCCAAAGGAGGACTCTGAAATTTACTCTGAGAACCTAAGATCTGGCCAGTTTGCCAGTGAGACCTGCCTTGAGAAGGCCCAAGTTAAAGCATTTCTCTTGGCGATGAATTTCCTACAGTTCAAAAGCCTGTCAGTGCCTCAGACCCTGGTATGATTTGGACCTCCTTTGCCTCTTCTCCAAACTACACTTGTGCCGTCATCCATAGGTAGTCAGCTCCCCGCTCCCGCCCCCGTTCCCTTCCTTCACAAGGTGCTCACACCAATGTTCCTGCTCCCATCTCTCTTTTGCTTTGCTCTTTGTGTAATTCCTGGCTGATTCTCTGGTTCCAAACATCTTGCTTCAGAGGTTGGCCCTGTGCCCCAGTAACTGGCTCTCCTGCTCCGTCCCTCACTGTGCATCATACATATTGTTGAATGAATGAATTGGTAGCAGTCTCTTGCTAGAATTTAACTTTATGTCTTGGGCTTAGTTGAGACATGTTAACACAATACTTGTATTTGATTTGTCTTTCTCCACTGCTGTCCCAGATTTATTGTCTTTGTTTTCTAGATTCTCTACACTAGTTCTATACTAGACATTTTACACATGTTATTTCTAATCTTCACAACCATCTTGCAAGACAGGTTTTACCATCTCCATTTCACAGATGAGGAAACTGAGGGTCCAAGAGGTTTGCTAATTTCTCCAGAGTCACTCGGCAAATCAGTGGCTGTCCTCACTTCTCCATGGAACCACTCTCAGAATCACTAATCTGTGGCTTAGTTCTTGAGGTTCCTGCACTTTCTTCCTTTGACCTTCTCTTGACTCTGATCTTATTCTGACTGAGCACCACCATCTTTGCCTGAATCCCAGTTGACACAGAAGGAGTGATGAGGGAGGAGAAACCTGAGAGGTCTTGCCATGGTTTTGACATGAGAGATTGAAGCCAGGGACTGAAGGAGATAGAGGAGCCAAAGGGATCTCCACATTTTTCAGCCTGAGAGAGCAGGAGAATGGTGATTTCATCAAAAGAAATGGGTAGTTGGGAAATCTTATCCCTGTAGGTCATTAATCAGGTGGTGGTTGGAGTTCCAGCGACTCTTGACTCCCTGGGTAATCATGGGCAAGCCTCTTAACTGTCTCAGTTTCTTTTCCCTGAGGGTCATCTTATCTGACTCTCATGTTTGTCATTGGTTTCCCTGTCAAATGATGCAATATAAGTGAACATACTTTGTAAGGGGGAAAGCCATACACCTGTTAGCTGTCATCACTACTGTCAGACACGTTACTTCTAAAGTCAGATTGTACATGGAGACACCAGCTTCTTGGGTAAAACATATCTCTGCCAGGGCTCAGCAAGCTGACCCATGGCCCAAGTCTGCTGTTTGTTCTTATACGGCCCAGGAACAAAGAATGGTTTCCAGGTTTTAATATGGTTAGAAAAAAATTGAAAGAAAAACGTTTGCTATGTAAGAAAATTACATGAAATTCAAATGTCGGTGTCCATAAATGAAGCGTATTGGGTCCGAGCCCGAACCTCCCTCTCATGTACTGTGGTCCATGGCTGCCTTCTCCCCGCAGCAGCAGCACAGCTGGGCAGCTGTGTGAGGCACTGTGCAGCTGCAGACCCTGAAGTGTGCACTGCTCGGCAAGAGCTGGGCAGCCCCGGCCTGCCTCTTGTACCTTCCTGCCTCTGTTCCCTGACAATGGTTCAAGTGAAGGAACGTGAGAAAGATGAGGAGTAAAGAATGTCCAATAAGAAGTGAACTTGATATTTTAAAGGCGATGTCCTCTCTCTTTCCCCAGACCACCCCCAAAGCAGTCAATAATAACAGAAAAATGTTTAGCAAACAAAAAAATTCTCTGTTCATCTAATGATGACATGAGGGATACGTTTGTGCTGTTTTTTGCATTTTTAAGTAAATGAGAATAAAGACAAGACTGTTACTGTCCTGATGTTAATACTGTTGACTCTTTCGCTAAATCTCATGCAATGGAAATTTCATTGTATCAAATTAACTTAATACTATGAAATATAAGTAAATTATCAAATTAACACAATGAAGTATAAGTAAGAAGATAGCTATTTACATTTTTTTTCTCTTATTTTCCTTAGTGAGAAGTTGGATGGAAAAACTAAAAGACAAGGTAAGAGAAGTATTTTCTTCCTTGGGGTTTATCTTGGAGGGCATGGCTTTGTCAAATAGAAGCTCTTCAGAGCAATGGAGCTTTAATTCATTATCCTGATTCTGGTAATCCATGCAGAGATACAAAGCTGCTTCCAGGTACCCAGCAAGAAAGAAGGCCTTCCCTTTAAGGCCCTTCTTGTATAGCACAAGGGACGCCTTGTTCTTTGGAGCACTTTTCATTCTCATGGCAGCAACATCTCATATGCACAGCTGAGTAACATCCTTGACATATCGAGGTGGAGTTCCTTTTAGGGAATTTCCGGAGTATAATCCCATTCTAGTGGGTATTTCTTGTGCCAGTGCAAGGTTCTTTTGAACCTGATCTTCCAGTATGAGGAAGAAATACCTTGGATTTTGGAAGGCATTGATATTTCTGAGCCTAGGCCAAAAATTGATGGACTTGACTTAAGAATACAAGTTTGTGATGGGAAGGACATCCTTAAACCATAATGGGAGGCTGGATTAAAAACACCTGAAAAATATTTATAGCAGCACTGTTTACAACAGCCAAGACATGGAAGCAACCTAAATGTCCATCAGCAGATGATTGGATAAAGAAGATGTGGTGTGTATATATATATATATATGCGTGTGTACACACACACAATGGAATACTACTCAGCCATAAAAAGGATGACGTAATGCCATTTGCAGAAACATGGACAGACCTAGAGATTATCATACTGAATGAAGTAAGTCAGACAGAGAAAGACGAATATCATGTGATATCACTTATATGTGGAATCTAAAAAGCAATGATGCAAATGAACTTATTTACAAAGCAGAAACAGACTCCCAGACATAGAAAACAAACTTGTGGTTCCCAAACGGGAAACAGTGGAGGGAGGGATAAATTAGGAGTTAGGGATTTGCAGATACTAACTACTATATATAAAATAAACAACAAAGTCCTACTGTATATCACAGGGAACTGTATTCAACATCGTATAATAACCTAAAATGAAAAAAATGTATGTATATATGTGTGTAACTGAATCACTCAGCTGTACACTAGGAACTAACACAACATTGTAAATCAACAATACTTCAATTAAACAAAAACACCTGAGCACTCTCCTTAGTCCCACTTTTATGCAGTCCAGCATGGTGCCATTGCTTACCGAGTGATGAGCTGACCTGTCTGGAATGACCAACTATAGAAAAATAGTTTCCTCTCTGGCATAATTCTGCCATCTTCGTCTGTGATTGGCAATATTAACTTCCTTCCAGGTTCATATTTTTCATTTTCTTTTAATTTTCAACACTCTCTAGGCTCTAATTTTGGATTACCTTGTCATTTCAAACTGGAATTGCTCATAAAAATATTGATGGAATTCTGAACTCCATGCTGTAGCTTGTGTCAGATCCCATTACTATAACCCAGCTCAGATTTCACTGGGGGTTTAGTTAAATGGAAATCTTTTCAACTGCCAGATACTGAGTTACTTCAGATTCACCTGCCTCAGAATATAAATCGGTGGATGGTATTCCATATCTTTGTTTATTGTTTGAGGTCAATTTCCCCATATTTGAATGATTAACACTTATTTTGCTACAGCTTAATGTTAAAGGATAAAAGAAAACATCCAGTTGCAACTAAAATTATATAACTATCTTAATGCTCACTTTTATTTTTTTGCTTTTCAGTAAAATTCAGCATGGGTAGTTTTTGAGAATGAGATTATTTTATGTTCATATATACTAAAAGGAATGTTGAAGAATTTTAAGCCTGTTGACATCAGTGGAGGCCATGTTGGTATCTGTGACGGGTCCAGTTGTCTAAGGCGGGGTGACTATAATCAGACAGACTGAGCAAGATTTGGGGTAAAAGGAGCTCAAAAGTTTAGAACTGAATATACTTACATTGGCAGTGCTTCTTGTTATGTTTCAGAGGAAGACATGCTGCAGTGGAAAGCAAACAGGCTTTGATAGTTTAATCTACGAATCCATATGTCATTGTTTCTACAGGAAGTGTCCTCTGAGTTACAAAAGTAGACAAAAATAAACTTAAGAAAACAAATGTTGGCGTGTAGCCTGTTTTGAAGTTGGATGTTCAAAATGTCTTACCTGCCTGTATATATAGGATTGCTACTGCTTTTAGAAACCTGTGTTAGCCTTAGAGAAAGGCTGTCTCTTCTCCTCCTGTGGTTCCTTCCTTCTTATCTTGTCTCAAAGGCCTGGCACCCTCTCCCTGCTCCGTTTCACCAAGGGAGATAATTCTTTGTATGCTCTTAGTTTTCTGGACTATTTTGAAGTTTTCCCAGTCCTCTCTTCATTTCATTCTGTAGTATTTTTTAGTTATGATTTAGTTTAAAAAAAAATGGAAGAAGAAGAGTTGAGACTCCCACCGTGGTTGACTTATTTTATGCCTTGTTTTCATGTTTTGACTCTTTCTTGGAGGGACTCAGTCTAATCAGTCCTCTCCCTCTGGAAGTGAAATATCACACTTTACTTGATACTTGCATTCATATGTGAACACACGCACACACGTATGTCTATGTGTATATATGTGTGTACATATCTTCCTCTCTCTCCCTCCCTCTCTCCCTTCCTCCTTCTTTCTTTCTCTCTTTCTCTTCATCTGTCTAGCTAGCTATCATTTATAAAAGCCTTGTTAGTCAAAAGAAAACAAAAAAAAAGATAAAAGAAAACAAAAAATAAAAGATAAGAAAAAGAAAATAAAAGTCTTGTTAGTCATTATCTTCAGAAACTATTTGAGAATGGAACTATTGCCACTTTGATAAAAGTCACAGAATCCCTTAGAACTGAAAACTAAACTGCATATTTAACTGGCTTTTCCATCAACCCAGGGTATCTTCTCAGTTTAGCTTCATTTAATTGTTCCCAATATTGGTTTCCCTGTTGGTTAGCTGGACTCTAGGAAGGGTGGTTGGTGTTCTAAAAAGTTCTGAATTGTTCCTTTTGTTGTTATTATGTAGTTTTTCTGTATTAGTGAGGATTACGATTAGCTTTGAGTGACAGGCAACCCCCCAATGACAATGGCTTAACCAAACAGAAGTTTGCTTGTCTCTCATTTACGAGTCTGGAGGTAGTGATCAAGGATTAGTGAGAAGCAACACCGTGAAGGCTCAGGCTCCTTCTGTTTGATGCTCCATCATTTGTGACCTCTATTCTCAAGATCATTTTGAGGTCCTGGATGGCAGTTAGGACCATATTCTTAGCTAGGTCCATATTCTAGCCAGAAGGAAGGAGGAAAAGGGGAAGCTAAGACATCCCTCCCCTCTTAGAAGGGAAGATAAAGGTGCTCTGCCATTTTAAGTTGGAGTGTGGACAGAGGCTCTGCTCCTCTCTTGAAGAGCATGCTCTGGAATTTGCATGTGTCACTGATGTGTCATCTCCTTAGTGAGGCTTATCACTTGGTCACATCCAGCTGCATGGAAGGCAGGGAGAAGTCATTGCTATTCTGTGCGCAGCCCAAAGGGGAGGTTCTGTTGCTCTAGAAGAAGGGGTGAATGGATATTGAGGGACAGTCCCTAGCCTCCTTCCGTCCACCTTCTTTCTGGTTAAATGTCCAAGTTAGTGATGCTTCTTTGGCAAATCTTTACCTGGCTACCTGTTGATGTGTTATTTCAACATCTATATTGTTTCTTGAATTGAAGATGCATCAAAATTTTAGTTGTATAAGAAAGACCTGCTCTGTAGGTATAAGATCGTTCTATTTCTTCTAGCTTTAGGAAGTAATCCAGAAAATGGATCCAGGCTGTACTTCATAGCAGCGATTCTCACATACAGTCTAGATGAGTAGCATTGGCATCACCTGGGAGCGTGCTAGAAATGCAACATCTCAAGTCCTACCCCAGATCTACTGAGTCAGAAACTCTGGGAAAGGGGCCCGACAATCTGTATTTGAACAAGTCTTGTTTAGGGGATTCTGATGCACGCTTAAGCTGGAGAGCCACTGTGGAATAGACATCACGAGGGTGCTGTCTGAATTCAGCAGACTTTAGGCAGTACCGTGTATCATTTGATTTTCTTGAAAACTAATATTTCTGAACAAATACATTTTCCTAAGTAGTAAGGATACCTTTCTCATAAATACAAAACAAAACAGACAAATCAGAACCAAAGCCAAACAGAAACACAAACAACTGTATCTAGTAAATTTTACCTTACGATCCATTCTTTAATTTTTGAACTATTTATTTGGAAATAATTTCAAATTTACGGAAAATGTCTAAGAATAAGAACAGAACAAAGAACACTCTGCACCTTTCCTCCAGATGCACTCATTCTTCCCACGCCGCCCCATTTGTTTTCTTATCTGCTGGCATCGGCTCCCCATCTCTGCTCTTTTTCTCTGAGTCGTTTGGGGGAAGGTTGCGCACATTGTGGCCCTTTTAGGCCAAATACTTCCATGTGTATTTCCTACAAATAGGACTGTTCTGTTAGCAAACCATAGCACAATTACCAGCTTGAGTCCATTGACATTAATATCGTGCTTTTCTCTGTATGGGCATCCATAGTTCAGCGTCTTAGTTAACAGAGCCAGAATGTCCTTTATAAATAAAAGTTTTTTTCTCCTCCAGTACAGAATCTAGTCTAGGGTCGTATAACACATTTAGTTGTCAGGATTTTTTAGTTTTCTTTAATTTGGAATATTTTTATAGCCATCTTTTGCCTTTCGTGACACTGATATTTTTAAAGAACATAGTGCCTTTAAAAAAAAAGAATATTCTTTCATTTAGCTTCATTGGATGTCTCCTCATGATTAGAGTCAAGTTATGCATTCTCAGTTGGAATATGTGCAGATGCGGTTGTGTCCTTCTCAGGATGTTACACGTAGAGGGACATGTATACCCAATAATTCTGAACAGAGAAAAGGTAGTGTTTATAACTTAAGAAGTATGCACATGCATCCTGTTTTCATTTTTGCAGGTAACAAGTTGTAGGCAACAAGTTTTGAAAGAGGAAAGTTTAAGTTATATTTGAAGGGGGTATGTTCCTTTGTTCCCATCCTGTAATTGTAATTTCAAAGCACAGGAAAATGCAAGACAGTCAAACAGATGGACACACACACACACACACACACACACAAAAGGGATTCAAAAGAGAAGAGAGAGATGAACTAAATTTTTGTGAAGTCTACATGATTTAAAGCTCTAGAAAGGAGAAGTCTCAATGTGTAAATAAGAAATGTGGAAAGAGTGACACATTTTGTAATATTCATGTTTTTGGTGTGGGGTTGAGTTATGTAGTGTGAGGAGACCCACACAGAGGTTGTTCAGATTGAACTTCCAAAAGCTCAAATATCATCCTTCAAACGTACTGCTCTGTAAAATCTAATCTACTGGGCTTAAAGTTGACCATACATCAACATATACATATATTTCCATGCACTGGGAGTGGTGGTGTAAAAAACAAATTCATAGTTCTGGTGAGAGCACCAAAACTTTGCAGCTGTCCAGCGTTTTCCCACGTGGAAAATTACAGACTTTCCATAAGTCTTACCGAGCTCTGGAAGAACTTTAGAAAAAATTTGGGTTTCTGCAAAGCATATAAATTTGTTGAAAAATGAATGGGCTTTGTTTCTTGGGGAGAAACACTTAGTATGCTGAGAAACAATGCTCTTGTTCTCAAATTAATGGAAAAATTTCCATATTCTGCTCTGACTCAAGACTCTGGAAAACAGAACCAGTGAGTGAGCTGGCTGTGGACCAGAAGAGGGCGCTGCAGTTTTGTAAGGTCTTGTCTGTGCCTTTGATTTACTTCTAGAACTGGTGGGAAAGCATCACAGCCTGCTTACTTCAGCGCTTTTTAAAGGACTTTTACTTTTTTGTCCTTCTCTGTTTTGGGCTCATTCTGAAAGATACTAGAAATAGTTTGTGCTATATTAATAGTTTTCAAAATAGTCAAATAAATGAACAGACTCTTGGTTCACACCCCTCCCCCCCATAATGCCTATCTAAAGTACTTATTACAGCTTTAAAAATTGTTCATTGTTTCTGTGTTTTGTCTGGGTAGTTTTCTAGAGGGACCCATCATGGAAGGCAAACCAGTGTCATGTTTGCCCATGAAAGGGCTCCAGTTATTTCATATTCCTTTAGCCCGTAGGTGTCAAGACATAGGGATGGCCCTACCCCAAGCTTGGGTTGGTCCTGAGCTACCTACCCAAGCCCAGGGATGTGTGGCGATCACGCTGCTGTCTTAGGACCGAGGTATCCATAGTGACACCTTGGGGATGTTGGAGACCCACATGGATTTGAACCTCCAGGCTCTTTGGAAGATACCAGTGCTGTTGGCAGTGGTCTTTGTCCCTCCTCTGCCACTTCTTTTCTTTGGGGCCGGGGACACTCAGAGTTCCCTCCCAACCCTCAACTTTGTGTTGTCCATTGGACAGATTTTCCTTTCGTATAAACAAGCCCACCCACCTTGTGTGCAGCTCTCTCCTCGCCCTTGTCTTTTCTGCCTCTGCTCGAATGCTAACAGCCTTCCTCTTTTCTCTGAAGGTCCTTCTCGCCCTGTTGTCTCCAGAAGCTCTCCCTTTTCAGTCACACACAGCACTTCGCTTCTTCCTTTCTTACTATGATGCAGCTAAGATTCTGAGAGAGGGACCATCAAAGTCAAGGCTCTCCATTCGCCCTCCAAGAAACACAGTATTCCAGAGGGCACTCCATCTACCCTGGAGCTCGACTCAGGCTGATATTTCCAATTTATAGCATTTTAATAGTCCTGGCATTCTCAGAGGCTTACTTCATCCATCTTTAATACAAATTACATTTCTGTCACCAAAACCTGAAGTTGACAAATGTGCATAAACAAGTGGCTGGAGGTGCCACTGGGTCTGGCTGATTTATTTCAGTACTTCTTCTAAGTGTTTGAAATATCTCAAAGTTTGAGATTTGCAAACGTTAACCACTGTATATAAAAATAGATAAAAAACAAATTCATTTTGTATAGCACAGGGAACTATATTCAATGTCTTATAAAAACCCTTTATGAAAATGAATATATGTATGTATACATGCATGACTGGGACATTGTGCTGTACACCAGAAACTGACTCATTGTAACTGACTATATTTCAATTAAAAAATAATTTCCAAATCGCCCTATCTCCTCTTGGGTTGCCTTCTCCCTAAAAAGTCACTTTATTCCAGGTGCTGTTTTATCTATCACAAGGCAGACAGGAGAATTCAAAGGGTCTAACAACCTGCTGCCATCCAGCAGACCTGGGCAACCCAGGGCAGCGGTCTGTTTAGCATCCTAATGCATATTTTCTTTCCTCTGCAGGCTGGGTATATGTCTGGGATGCTGGTGCCCGTAGGGGTTGGGATAGCTGGAGCCTTGTTCATCTTGGGAGCGCTCTACAGCATTAAGGTTATGAATCGCCGAAGGAGAAATGGCTTCAAAAGGCATAAAAGAAAGGTATGGAATTAGCAACAGCAAAACCTGATCAGTGGCGGAACGTTCTTCGCTTTTCTAATTTGCTTAATAAAACACACGGTGCTTAATGATGCATGAATGGTAGGGACGTGCCCAGTGGTTCGAATTAGCTGCCGCAGCTGCTCCCTCGGCTTCATCTGTTCATGTTCGGTTAAAGGGGACCTGTTTCTCAGCTTTGCTCTGCGGCAGGAGTTAATACTTTTCTGTTTTCTTTCCCCAGCAGAGAGAATTCAACAGCATGCAAGATCGAGTAATGCTCTTAGCCGACAGCTCTGAAGATGAGTTTTGAATTGGACTGGAGTTTAACTGGGAGATTCAACGATGTTATTATTTGACTTTTTATTTGGGGGGGGGGCAAAAAAAAAAGAGAAAAGTCCTGCCACCTTAGGGGTGTTAGGCCGTCAGTCTCATTATCTGCTGGGTAGTAAGTAGAGTTTTCTTAGACTGAGCAGAAGAGGCTTGCTGTATAGGAACTGCCATACGCAGTGTATGTTTTTATCCTGTAGTGAACTTTCCACAGCCATGGGCTCCAACTTACAAATCTGCAGCGCACGTGTTGTTGAGTAGGAGTTGCTAGGTTAGGTAGAGTAAATATTTGGTATTTTTCCACAGTGTCTTTTCCTCGGTTCGGATTACCTGCATTAGGCACAGCGATGATCGCTGCCAAGGCACACTTGACTCTGAAATAGAAATCTTAACAAAGAACAACTGGTTATGACCGTGCTCTGCCCACTGGAATCCCTAGGCTTGTGGGCCATGGCATTTGCATTTACATTTGCATCAAAACTAGCAGCAACTTCGAATGAAATCTTTTTCCGTAAGAAGATCTCTCAACGCATTAGGATTATATATGGATTTGTCTGGACCTTGCATTATGTACTGGAGTCTCCTGGTTTTAGTATTTCCCCCCTGCCCTTTTATTCTGATTCTTGGCAAAGAAAAAAATGCACCAGAAAAAAATGCATTAAATTGACTCTCAGTCTTAATGTAAGCTTGCTTTCTTAAGTAGTGTAATGGAGTCCGACAGACCTATCAATAGACTCTCACAAGTTTATCGTTCAGAGGTGTCCTTTTTGTGTTTCATTGGACATTGTCAAAAGGAAATGGGGAAGAAATCAAGAGGAAAAAGAGGGTGGGTAAGTTCCCTGAGCGTTTATCTCTGCCATTTGGCTCTCTGCTTGTGTGGCCACCATTCTGAATTATTCAGAGTGTTGTTTTTCTGCATCTGTGGTCTTGGCCATGGAGTTGCTGGGCTGCCATTGGCCCTTATTTGGCTTTATTAGACAAACAGACATTCTGTGGTAGGAGCAGGCACAGTGGCCAGAGTCCTGGAAAGTGATGGAACTTAAGAAAAACCAGCCTCTCTCAGGGCGGCTCACTTTGGGAGATGTTGGACTATGTTAGATCATTTCTCATTTCCCTTAGAATGGAATTCCTTGTCCTGTCTTTTGAACCTGGGTATTTGGGACTTTCAGGAAGCTGAGGATTTGGGTAAAGACTTGGCTCATTTGTGTGGAAGAATAAAAGTTACTAATAACATTGTCCATAGTGCTTGACACCGTGGAGAACTTGTTCACAGTTATTGGAGCCTGCTCCAATGCATTCGAGGCAAGCTGCACAGTTATTCCGCACAGCTACTGTGTGAGGTAGGACAGATGTTTTTATTCTCCCACTTGACTGAAGACAGAATTGAAAAGTGAAATGGTTATCCAAAAAAAAAAAAAAAAAGAAAGAAGGAGACAAAAAGAAAAGGAAAAAAATGAAAGAAGAAAAGAAAGAAAGAAAGACGAAAAACAAGAAAAGAAAAAGAGAAAAAAACCCCAAAATTATACCCAGAAAGAATCAGGACTGGAACCCACTTGGACTCAAAACCATGCACCCCTGTCTTCAGCTCAATGCCCTTTCCATGTACTTTGGAGGGAACGGCGACATTTCAGAGTCTTTGTTTAAAACCAGGGTTTTAAGGAAGTAGCTGCTTGGCCAAGGAACATGTCATACAAGTTTCTGCCCTTATTAAAGGAACGATGCCTAATTTCTCTCCTATACACACAGATTTTTTCCTTTTCCCACCTCAGCTATTGCCTTTACAATCACATACATTTCAGTAGAGAAACCTTTCTTGACTTTATTCATGATGGATAGCTGGTTTACAAGAATGTTTTCATCAAATAATTTTATTTATATTTATTTTTTTTTTTTTTGCCAGGAGATGTAAGCAGATGGGTGGGATTTATCAATTGAAATGAAAAGCTCCGTGTAGTCAAATAGAAGTTAGCAACCGACAGACAAGCTCAAAGTCAGGTTTTGAAAAAAGAACTCAGAGCCATGCGTCTCCAGGAACTTGTAGTTTCATGAGTGGACAGCCTGATACTGCACAGGGGACATTTGCCTTTTCTAAGAGCAGCCCTTTGCTGGAAGTGTCCCTGAAGTTAGGAGGAGCTGAATATGATGTGGCAATACTGTCTTTGGATCCTTGACAAGCTGTTTATAGAGACCAGACAATAGGCAGCTTCATCCAGCATCACATGGGGGATACTAACAGCCACTAACTCTTAGTCTGTAGTTTTAACTAGACCAAGGCTGGTAGGTTGAACCTTCAGACTATGGTATCACAAAGCCCCAAATGACAGACACATATTTTCATTTATCCAGAGGGCTATGGGAATGACATGTATGTGCATTTAGACCTAAGCAGAAATGTCTCTGCAGTCCTTTTTGGGAACAGGTAACTGTTTAAAGAAACAGAGGGCACTTAGATCCCAGCGGATGTCTGTACAAACCCACTGAAACTCCTGGGTCGAGTGGACGGTTCTGTGGGTGGCTCGACTGGTGTGTTTATTTTGGCTGTTTTCCTTGCTGCCAGTGGCTGGGGAACAGTGATTTTCAGTGGTTGGTTTAGGTTATTCAGAGGAATGAAAAGGTTGTCAGGTTCTGAACAAACCTAGGATTAGGGGTACTGCCCCCAGTGGAGGTGCCAGCCAGTGGTTACGCTGTCCTGATTAAAAGTAGTAAATCAGGCATTGATGGGTTTACCTAAAATAAGAGATTTCTATGCTTATATTTGCATTATGAAAATAAAAAGTCAACTCTTTATTCTAAAAACTCAGCTTAGAAGATTTAACCACTAGAGAGGAGAGTATAGCTCAGTGGTAGAGCACATGCTTAGCATGCACAAGGTCCTGGGTTCAATCCCCAGGACCTTCATTAAAAAAAAAAAGAAGCTTAAAGGAAATTTATACAACAATATAAATCGACTATATGTCAATTTTAAAAATTGGAAAAAAAACATTTAACAGCAAAGCTGTCAGGAAGGGGGGTGGGGCTGGTAGTCAGTGTCTGACCCCTTCCTCCCTGAACTGGACTTACCCCTCAGAACTGCAGGTGTCCCACTGCAGCGCCAGGGAGAGAGGGAAGTTTGAGGACACAACCAGGAGAGCATGTATGCAGAGAGCAGCTTCCTTATTAAAAAGACGAGGAAAGAGCAGGTGCCTGTGGGAGAGACCCTTCCCCTAGTCAGCGAGCCAGTCAGTCCCACCTGCCACAGTGGAGAAAGGAAAACGGAAGGAATGAGGAGGGAGCAGAAGCTTCTAGAGAACAAGTAGAAGGCTGGGATGGAGAGAGAAGGGTTCCTCCTGGGCCCCTGATGTCTTTTTCTCTACTTAGAAGACAGTTCTTTTCTTTTAAATCTCTTTAGTGTTTCCTCTCCCATAAATTACTTCTTTCAGTAGCTGCTGGCTTAATTTATGTACAATATTTGGAGTGAATTAGTATCCCAGGGAAACAGATTCCCTTAGCAATGCCTCATCCTTGGCTTCAGCTCTTGAACTGCCTTCGGTGCAGCCTTCCAGAAACAGTTTCTTAAAGGACCTGTAACTCTTACACAGGTCAAATATATTTTGGGGGAAAATTTAAAGCACAGTTTTAGAACGTATTTAAAGTAGTCTTAGCATGGTCAGTCAAAGCTGGCCCTTTATTTCATTATTATTTTTTAAAAGGCTAAGACTTAGAAGTTTAAATGTCATAGAGAGATGCCCAGTGCCTGTCTCTCTGCTCCTTCAGACATCCTCTTCATGAGGAAGTCCGATTAGAACCCCTTTTGCGGAATCACACCCACAACTTGAGGGAGAAGCGTCAAAGCACCCATTGGCGTTGTGATTTCTGTGGATGTCAGTCATCCATGTTTCTACCAGCTGCCAAAAAGCAGCTTCGGGGAACAAGCTACAGGATTTGGCACAAGGTTTTACCTGCATGGCCTTTTGGCAAGATAGGCTTTGTTATGACTACAGGAAATCTGAAAAGGCAGGATTACCACGGAAGGAAAAAAAATCTCTGCTTTTTTAGCATATGTGAAGGTATGGTTACAAGGGAAGAACTATGAGTAGAAGATGGAGGAAAAATCATAGTACAAAGCAGATGTAAAAATGGCACAAAGCATTAGAATGTGCTAGAGGAGGCAGAAGTTGTGAATGCACCGATACTTGGAAAAATGATAAAGATGAGTGAGAAGAGTGCAAATGAGGTGGACCGTTAGCAGAGAAAGGGGCCATAAATCTACACCAATCTATGTCTCCATCCTCTCTGTCAAAGAAAATTGCTATGCACCAGGTAGAAGAGACATGGGTGGGAGGGAATTGAAATCTAAGATCAATGAGATGGAAGGAGCTTGGTTACTTTAAATAAGCTTAAGCTCAGTTAAATATCTCTTGTAATTATGCAGAGTTCAAATGACTGAATATAAATTTCTAGGAACAGGAAAGAATTTGAAAACAAAATAATGCTGTTGACTTACTAAATGCTCGTCATTTGTACATGTACCACACCCCCCCGCATTACACACCTCCTTTTGGGAGGAAGCCATTAAACTGATAAGCTGGGGATGGAGTGAGGAAAGACATCTGATTATTTTCTCTGTCAACATAGCTGGAAACATAATTCTGTTGCTTAAGTTCTACATGCAGAAAGAATAATCAGCACTTATGTTGTAAGTCACTGTTAGCTGTATAAATGCATTGGGAGTCTCCTATTTTGGGTATCTAACTCCCTATTAATTAGCCCAGATTTCTACTATGTGTATATAGGATAAGAGAGGAAGGGAGGGAGGGAGGAAGGAAGAAATTTCCCCTAGTAAACAGCAGCAAAAGAAAAAAAACAAATCATACATTCCTTTGTTCTAGTTTGCTTAAAAACACACCCAAATTTTGGGGTAAAAAAAAAATCCTCTCAAATAGTCCACTCAGTAAAGCGAAGATCTCACTTTCCCTCCTCAAAAGGCAGCATGAGCAATAATATAATGATGACTGTTAATAATTTATAGGAGGAGGGTATAGCTCCGTGGCAGAGCGCATGCTTAGCATGCAGGAAGTCCTGGGTTCAATCCCCAGTACCGCCATTAAAAAAACAAACAAACAAATAAATAAACCTAATTACCCCCCACAAAATAAAAACCAAAAAAAAAGTTTTTTAAAACCAGTAAACATTTTTTAAAAAGAAAAAATTTTAATAAATAAATAAAAATTGAATATAAATTCTCACCCTAATACTTCAGTCTCCAGATCCAAAGTTCAAGACTGATTTTGCTCAGAGGTGAAACTTTTGTGGCCTAAGGGTGGAGGAACTGAGAAGGAGTAGAAACAGAAGAAGTAACTGCAGGGGGAGAAATCCTCTTTTCTCCTCAAGGTTTGTAGGTAAAGGAACAGAGAGCAAGCAGAATGGAAGGCAAATGGGGGTGCGCACTTGGAGATTTTATTGCCTCTGAGACGAAGACGTCATTTGTTCTGGTCTTAAAAGTCTGAATCTGGTATCAGGTGGGTTTTTATTAACCACTGTCCTGTGCATCTCAGTATTTTCTTCCTAATTCACAATGAAGTGAAGGAAGGGACCGATCGATTTGAGACGTTCCTCTAATTTTATGTCTCACAGCGCAGCCTCAGAGTTTATGTAGTTTCAGACTTTTTCATGACCAGACAGACCAAAATCTACATGTAGGAAACTATAAGGACAATCCTGCAGAAAGGAAAGATATTTGGATAACAGATGATTCAAGCCTTTTCTCTTCCAAA